GAGCAGCTCAAGCGTCCCGATCTGGACGCTTAGACTTGGACGCTTTGACTTGGACGCCTTGGCTTCGTTCCTATAAATACAGCGCGATTCTCCCCATTCAACACATGACTTTCACTCCCATTTTCGGGAATTGAGCCTTATATTCCAATTCCGAGTATTAGTTTAGTATTTTAGTAGTTTTAAAGTAATTTTTGGAGGAATTCTACTCCCGATCTGTTCAATTTCGCTTGTACGGAAGTTGTAAGTTCTCTTTACTTAATAAAATGCTGTTTTAATTTATGTTTGCATAGTATGAGTTAGGGTCCGGATCTCTGGGTCCGGACTAGTTTGGTTGTTTATTTTTGATGTTAAATTAATGTTGGAATGGTTAATCTATTGTTCTTGCCTTATCTGGTTAATTAATATCGGAAGATTTAATTGGCCATTTATTGAGAAAACATTGTATGCCAAAAGGCTATGATATTCAAGAACAACGGATTAAGTACAAATCTAGAAATGGATTAGTAGTAATAGAAATATTATTATTCCAATTGTTAATTTAATATGATAAAATAGATCCAAATGATGTCCAGACCCTAGGTCCAGATCTATACTTATACTATGTAAACTTAATTTTACTCTGCCTTTTTTATAATCGTTCCGAGAAGACTTTCATAAACCAATCCTAACCTTCCCCTAGTTAGAGTAATTAAACTAATTCCCTTCGTCCACTCCTCGAGAGATACGACACTCGGAGAGAAAACTAACCCTTTACTGGGAAGGTTCACTACCCGAAAAACTACAACTATCAGTTGGCATACCCATCATGCATGACTCTTTCATTGAATAGCCATGGCCTTCCCAACAATATATGGCACGCGTCCATCGGAATGATGTCGCACCATACTTCATCAGTATAGCTTTTCCCAATACTCAAGGAGACTAAAGTTCGGGAATCTACTCGTAACCCCTTGCCATGGTTTAGCCATCGGATGGTATATGGTTTCAGGTGGGGTGACGTCTTCAACCTTAGCTTATCAACCAACGTTTTCGAGGCCACGTTGGTACAACTCCCACTATCCACGATAAGCGAGCACACCTTCTTTGGTACCGTACAACGAGTATGAAAGATATTCTCTCGTTGTAATTGTTCATCGGGGACGGCTAAAGTACTTAGCGTCCTACGGATGACCAGTAGCTCTCCTTCATCTACACCTATGACCTATACATTCTTCATATTCAGCTACTTCATCACTCCATGTGGGGCTATCTTCTTCATCTTCATATTCCACGATTGCCATAATCTTCTTATTCGGACATTCATTGGCATAATGACCTATGCCTTGACAACAAAAGCATTTCGGAGCTCGGGTGCTGGTTGGATTGGCCTTGGGGGGTGGCGGGTTGGTAGAGGTGGAAGGGATGGAGTTAGGTTTTGATGGTGTTTGGGCAGAGGTGGTGGTTGGGTTTCGTGAGGAATTTGGAGGAGTTTTGGTGTAGGGTGAGGGGCGGCCAAAGGGGGTTCTAGTTCTCTTGAGTTGAGCTTCAACTCGTAGGGCGAGCTTGGACAGTTCTTCGAAGGTGTCGTCTGGTTGGAGCTCCACTACATTAGCTATTTGGGTGTTTAGCCCAAATAAATAGCAAACAAGGGTTTGGGAATCATCTTCTTGTAAGTCGCACCTCATCAAGAGTTCTTCAAACTCTCGAGTGTAATCTTCCACCGTCCGGGTGCCTTGTCTTAGTTGTTGAAGGTGAGCGAAGTTATCCCTTACATATTGTTCAAGGAGAAACTTCTTCTTCATCAAAGCTCTCATCTTGAGCCAAGATTTGACGGGAACCTTCCCTTCTCGTCTTCTCTTAGTGCATGTGTTCATCCACCATGTAGAAGCGTACTTTCGTAGTTTCAACGCCACTATTTTGACCTTCTTGTCTTCGGGAATGTCTTTAAAGTCGAAGACGCGCTCAACAGTTTCCAACCACTCTAGGATTTTGTCGGGATCATTCTTCCCTTCAAAGGTGGGAAGGTCAACCTTGAAATCTGTGGTTCCTTTCTCATGAGAGCTGCCTCCGGTGTTGGTGTTGGAGTCTTCCGTAGGGTTGTTTCCATCTCTTGTTCTTCATCACTCTCCTCGGGGGTATCTGCCATTCTTAACTTCATCTTGGTGAGTTGAGCTACTTGCTTGGCTAAGTATTCAACTTGAGCTTTTAGGGCAGCATTGGAGGCTTGAAGTTCTTCATTGGTGAGGGTTTGAGATTGGTTTGACATGGTGATAAGGAAGAAGATAATGGGCAGTAGGTTATGACCGAATGGAAGGAAAACAAGGAAGAGGGAAGGAAGTGTGTTCTTGGTCCTTAAGGATGTAGAACAACCTGGCTTTGATACCAAATGTTGTATCTTAGCTTTGGGTGTTTTAGGAACACAGTGGTTTTAATATTGAGGAGGAGTGATAGTCGGTTATCTAAAAAGAGATAATCGATTATTGAAGGGTTCAGTTTCTTAAGGGATTTTGGCGGAGATTTTTTGAAAGGGGTAATAGTCGATTTACAAGGATATGTGAATCGATTATTGATGGCTGTAGATGTTTCACGTGAGTTGATAATCGATTTTACCAAGTGGATAATCGACTATAGGGTAGTTTCAGGGAACGAAAAGGAGGTATTTTAGTAAAGGGAGATAAACCAAGGAGGTCTAAGAGATATAACACACTCTTATCCTTTCTTGGGGTTGAAATCTAGACTTCAATTAAGATATAACACACTTAATGAAATTCTAGAATCTAACACTCACACTTAAGGAAACCAACCTTAAGATATAGAAATTAGGAATTTTAAAACAACACAACAAGTTGTATTATCTTGAAAATGGGATTACAAAAGTTGGGATACAGATGAGGCCCTTCCGGCTAAAATTATGTTCGAGTTTTCTCCTTTCTTGATTCGTTGAAGGAATTTGTTTATAGATCTTATAATAGGTTTTAATCAAATCATCTTATGGAATGAAAATCAAGTGTGATAGGTTTCTTGGGTTTGATATTTTCGGCCCTATTGGAAGACAAAAGGAAATGTGAGAATATTATGATTTAGAATGAATAAAATAAGAGGGATTTGGGATGAGATGGGTTCGTCCATATTATGGGACAAAGGGAAGGTTTGATGTGAGAATGATTTGGTTTATTGTGTAGGGAAATATATGGTGGTTGGGGGGGAGTGTATTCGGCCTGGAGGAAGAAAAACAAAGGATGGGAAAATCTCATGTTAGTTTGGTTTTTAATGAAGCAAAATATATGGTGGGTGAGCTCTCAAACCACAACATGTGTTCCTTGGCCTATTATCGATGTAAGTTCGGCCTAGCTTGGGGACATGTGGTCCCAAATGTTGGCTTGTCTACAAACTTAGAAAATGGTTGGTTTTTTGGGCTCTTGTGTTCGGCCAGGCTTCAATGAAAAAAGGAAAAGGGTTAAATAATGAAAGGAAGATATTTGGGATATTTATGAATGTTGAGAATGTGTGGGTCCATGGTGGGCGCAGGGTGGTTCGGCCAAAACAAAGGAAAGAAAGGGAAAAGGTTTGTGATGGGTTTTAAGGGGTTGGGTTTCAGATTTCATGGGCCTAAACATATCAAGGTTGGGTTGTATGGTTTTGGGGTGAGAAATTCATTCCAAAAAGGATTGTGACATTTGGACATTAATCCATTTATTTGTTTAAGTTCTTGAGAATTAGTTGTCGTAACCTCGGATATAACAGCCTTCCAACAACGATGTCGGTCAATGTACAAATGCTATTGAGCCAAGGTTGAAATTCCACAAAAATCTGGAACAACAATATAAACATCTCTACATCCATGTTCAACCTAAGCCAAAAGAAAATGCCTTTGGCAGAAAGTTTTTGGACAGCACTGTTGAACAGCGATGTCAGGCCACCTTTCATCCTTCAAGGCCAAGCCAGAACAGCGATGTTCAAGTAATGAACATCGATGTAGGCACCTGACCGTTGGAAGAAATTTATGGCTAAAACTTTCCAGGTTTGGAAGTCAACAGTCAAAACAACGATGTTGCCCTTTTGGACATCGCTGTTGGCTTGACCGTTCTTCCCAATTTGGCCTACCGTAACCGTTAGGTTACTGTTCCTGATTTGTGATTTTGAATTAAATCAACCCTAATCACCTCCCAACGGCTAATTAACCTTTTTCACTATAAATACAAGCTTAATCCTTCATATTTCTTTAAGAAACAAAGCTCTAAACATCCTCTCTTTTTATTCTAAGTGTGTTCATTCTTTTATTAATTATTTTTAATATTTTGGCTATTTTAAGAGCCTTAAATTCCTGATTTTTATACACACACTTTGAGCTTGTGTTTCTAGTTTTATACTCTCATATTTATAATTTTCTATTGTATTTTTGAGAGAGTATAATTTCCTTCTACACCGGCTTAGTTTTGTTCTTCATTTTTATATTCTAGCCGTTGTGAATAATCCTCTTTTGTGTTCTTCAAACACACCTTCTTACGGTCGAGAATAGCCGTTAAATTCTCACATTGTAACGGTCAAGGATAGCCGTATAAATCCTTGGGTAAAGGTTCAAGGATAGCCTTTGAAATCCTTGGGGGAGTGGTAGAAGATAGCCATTAAATCTTCATTGTAAATGGTTCGAGATAGCCGTGGTGAAATCTAGGAGTGAATCCTATTGGCAAGGGTTGTTTGCAAAACTAGTGCGGTGCTTTGATGGAGTTCAAGAGGCCAGAACTGAGTGGATTCGGAAATCCTTGAGGAGGAGCCTCGAGGTACTGGAGTAGAGAGTTCCTGAACCAGTATAAAATCGGTGTGCATTTTATTTACGCTTTTATTTTTGCATTTTATATATTGCTTCTGCATTTGCCAACACCATTTTTATTAACCTCCGAAACGATTTTAAAACGCCTTATTCACCCCCTCTAAGGCGTGGGCACAACTTATAAATCGAATAACAATGCCAAACCTCCATGAAAACAAGATCAATTGAGCAAATCAAAGGCAAAGGAACTTGGCATGATGATGAATTGAAAATGAGAACCAAGAACCAAGAACGAAGACTTAGAAATTAGTTGAGTCGGTCTGAATGTGATCAAAACTAGAACAAACTTCTAAAACTTGGCTCTCTAGGCTCATTACATTTAAATACCCTTTTGCATCCTCAAAAATGTTTTTCACAAGTTTTAAATTAGCCTAAAACAGTTAGTGTTCGCCCAAACCAAAAACCAAACCATCCGGCGTTCAGCTTTCAGAAACTGGCATTCAGTTTCTAGAAACCGGCGTTCGGCATTGGGCTACCGGCGTTGGTTTTTGGCGTCCGAACCAACCAAGTGGTTTTTAACTTTTTATGATTGGTTTTTACTTCTGGGCACATTTAAGTAGTAGTCTCCAACAAAAAGACTTCAAAAACCACTTTTCATTTTTGGGCGTTTAATAAAAACCATGCGAAACGGCATGAACTTGGCTAGCAGTGGTTTTTACCTAAATGACGTAGTTTTAAGGATGGAGGTTAAGGGCATTTGATCTCTTTTAGTTAAAGAACCAGTTTGCTGACACCTAGGGCAATTTTTACAAAATTCAGCAGTGTCCTTAGACATGGTGGGCCAGAAAAAACCAGATTCAAGGATTTTATGAACAGTTCTTTTAATACCCAAATGTCCTCCAGACTCTAAAGTATGACAAAATTTTAGGATAGAGGGTACTTCATGATAGTCCACACATCTCCTAATGAGTAAATCAGAACAGAATCTCCACAAAAATGGTTCTTCCCAGTAGTAATACCTTGACTGAGCTTTGAGTTCACATTTCTCAGCTTGTGGCATGCCTACTGGAAACTCTACAGTGACCAAATAGTTAACCAACTCACTATACCAAGGCAACACTTTCACTGCATATAAAGACTCATCAGGAAATAACCCAGTGAAAGGCGTTTGGTTGTTAGAGTATAAGACTCTGTTAAGATGGTCAACTACTTGATTCTGTAGGCCTGGTCTATCTTTGAACTCAAATAAGAACTCTTGAATTAGAAGCATCCACCTAATCAGTCTAGGCTTAGATTCCCTCTTAGCCATCAAGTATTTAATGGCAGCATGATCAGTGAAAATAGTGACCTTGACCCCTAAAACATAGGTCCTAAACTTCTCCAGTGCATACACCATAGCATATAGCTCTTTTTCAGTGGTGGTGTAATTGCACTGAGCAGAATCTAAGGTG